GTTGTTTGTACAGTAATTAAGTACTGAGATCCTGATCAATGACTACTATGTTTCTGTAAATTGGATACTCCACCTCTTCATGGGCAACAGGCTTTAAGGATATCTTCAATATCTGGATCATCTCCTGCTTCTTTATCCTGATCAGGTCAATCAGTATAAGCTGATGTTAGGAAAAAAGGCAAGAAATTATCAAATATCTGAACCAAACATCCTCGGAACAACTAACAGAATGGTTCCTAGGATCAATTCAAGTAGGCCACCACTATACTGATTAGCATTAACAAGCAGTATTTTGTTATAAAGAAGTATGGGAAAGGACATGTGGAAGTATGGGTGACATACCCTGTAGATGTATGAGATGTTCCCCTTACCAGGACCTGCAACTAAAATTCCACCTTGCTGCCTGCGAAACAACCATCATAAATCAGTTCAAAAAGTAGTTATGCAAAATTGATAAGTTAAGCAGATGAAGGTGTTAGTGTTATCACACATGAGGTGACGAACTAGATTTTATAGGCTTTATTGCTTCTTTTTGCCCTAGGCAATACAACATATTTAGCAAAAAAGACTACTTCATATATCAGAGAAAAGACTTAAAAGTTGTGCCATCTTGATTTTAGTTTTGCCCAAGGTACTGAATGTCCATAATGCCTCAAACTTAGGTTATTAGTGACAAAATAGTTGTCTTGACATACCAACCACCTCTCCTCACGGTGTCTCTTTCAGATGAAAGCTCCCAGTCTTGTCTGTAGCCTTCCATGTATGACTGTATTATCTTAAGACCCGCCTGACATGTCATGCAAACAACTATAAAAATAAAGGTTGCTGCAATTTACAGAAATCTAGAATTTTATATGCATCTTCCTATCTATAAACCATTGATATTGTTGGCTAAAAATTATCCAATGTGCTGCTTATCAAACTAAATAGGAATACCATATTCAATCTCACAATTCTATGTTTTGTACATACTTTGGGTGTAAATGTGGTTGAAACCCCAGAAACAAATCTTAATGCCTCATATGATGAGTGACTTGGATCTGCATAAACTTCTGAAACAAGAAAGGGGTTTTGCTTGTTTTGTTGTACATAAGCAGTAAGGAGGCAGCAAATTTGATGCAAGAAAAGATCTTTGTTCACTAGTCTTAAGTACCTCCTTGGAATTTTGTTTGTTCAGCAAATGCTCTTGCCTGCAGTGAATAATAACTCAGGTTATAACAGATTTCCAGCCTTTTTACTGGACAAATTCATAATCGTTCTGTACAAGCCAGATTGCTGAAAACTTGACGGACAAAATTTTTATGTTCCCTCCCAGGTAGGGGACAAATGGATAAAACAAGGAATGATGTACTAGTAACTCCATACATGTTTCATGGACTTACCTGATCAACACTTCCAGGTCCAATTAGAACAAGTCCCACATTTGATACATCCATTACATCCTGTCAATGCATAAAACACATTAAACCAATCAATGAGAATGAAAAATACATTCATTCAAACAGTCATTACAATGCAACAACTTAAGAAAAATCTTCATGTTCGATAGAACTAGGCAACCCTTTCCTAGAGGCCAAGGTAAATGCCGAGAATCATGGCTAAAGTATGCCAGAACATTCACAGAACAACAGGTCCCTGTGAGATGTAAATGAACTCAATACCGTCTCTATACACTTTACAGTAATTGGTAATTGAGAATTAATGAAATTGCTAGTGCCTGTTTAATCATCTCATATTTTACCTTCTTGGCGGCAAGATAATCAGCCCGTTTGCGGCAGAGGACACACCTGAAGATGGAAAAGCAAACAAAATTGATCAAAGAAGCTAACAAAATTAAAAGGTTGGATTCATTCACAAAATGTGATGAAGTAAGCACCCAAAATGGCGAGCAAATGCAACAACTACTTTCCTGTCCTTCCATAAATCAGAAATTGGAATTCCCTTCCCATTCAAACCAAACACCTGCACTTCATCCAACAAATTTTCTGTATCTTTACCCACCTCAGAAGACTGAATTCCTGTTCACAACCAAAAAAAAAAAAAAATCAACTTTTGATAACAGCTTTGAAAACAAAATACGATTTAAAGAAGTTGAATAATCAAGAATCAATCTTTAATACTTTCCGGCAGACCCAGACACCGCCGAAGCAACGAACCGGAATCCCTGTGGCGAGAATTTGATTTCATTTTGACAGAGCTTCAAACCTAAATTTGAAGGAGTCGTCCGGAAAAAACGAACCGGACAGTATTTGGTGTTCCCGTAGGGTCGGATAGTATAAGATGGAGGAGTTGCGGAGAAAGAGATCGCCATAACCATAGAAATTGTTCGCCGGTGAGACACAGTGGAACCAGAGAAGAAGAAGAAAATGAAAGCTAGTCTTCCGCCGTGGAAGAAGTAAACCACGACCGCGGGATTTCTGTGGGAAGCGCGAGAAACACGTGTCAAAATGAGCTGTTTTTACCTTCGGATGACACGTGGACTTTGTAATTACCAACTAGATCACCACGTCAGCAAAAATTTGCAAAATTAGGGTTTGACGGCGGAAAAAAATTTTTCTCTAATAAAGCACAGTGAAACCCTCCTCTCGCCTCCTCTCTGGATCTCGGCATCCTGCTTCTCAATGGCGGCTGTGACTCGTGTATCGAAGCTCGCCGGACTCTCTCAGATACGGCGATGTATGTGCTCTTCTTCAGCCGCGGCGGTGGCTGAAGCCGAGACCGCACCTTCCTTCCTCCAGAGCTACAAAATCACGCGTAGAGATCCGAAGGAGAGGAATGTGCAGTGGGTGTTCCTGGGATGTCCTGGCGTTGGAAAGGGAACCTATGCGAGCCGCCTGTCGAACCTGCTCGGCGTTCCCCATATCGCCACAGGCGATCTCGTCCGTGAAGAACTCGCCTCCTCGGGTCCTCTATCTCAACAAGTTCGTTTCTTTTGCTCGAATTTAATTGTCCTGCTGTTTGAGTTGATGAAATTACTGATGGATTTCATTTGACCAAGCTATTTCGCGTTTTGATCTGCTGAAAATGCATTGTTTTCCTTGCTTAATTTAGGTAGTGATTGTTTCCTAAGATCTGTAGATACCAAGCCACTACTTTTAACATGAGTAGGTATTAAGAGATTGAAAATCAAGATAATTGGAGCAATCTTAGCTAGTAAAGTTCGTGACTTTGTTCTTACCAATGTATGATTGCCCGTAATGGGCTCAAAGTGAATCTTTTTCCTCTTTTTGCAATACATGTTCAGCTAAATTTGTATGTCTCTTTATATAGCTTACTTTGTTTGGTTTTTTTCTGCAGCTAACTGAGATTGTAAACCAAGGAAAATTGGTTTCTGATGAAATTATTATTAGTTTATTGTCAAAGAGACTTGAGGCTGGAGAAGCAAAAGGTGAATCCGGATTTATTCTTGACGGTTTCCCTCGGACTATTAGACAAGCTGTGAGTATTGTTCAAGATTGGTTTGAGGAAATGCTAATTTTGCTTATTCTAGTCAAATTTGGTGTTAGTCTATTGGATTTGCGAAAAGATCATTGATTTACAGCATTTTAATTTTAATTTCTTGCCAGGTGGACCATTCTTTTCATTTATACCTCATTTTTTTGTTAACTTTAAGAAAGTTATTAGCACTGGAATCTGAAGGCTCTTGTACCTTTTGTCCTTTATTAATTTGCAATGAGTTTACATGTTACTTACAAATGTAATCTCTCTTTCCATCTTCTCCATCACCCAGAACAAAATTGTTTCGGTGAAAACAGTACTTTCCATGTTCTTTAACCTTTTTTTATTACATTCTCTCTCAGGAAATACTGGAAGGAGTAACTGACATTGATTTGGTGGTCAATCTGAAACTTCGAGAAGATGTCTTGATTGAGAAATGCCTTGGGAGAAGAATTTGCAGTGAGTGTGGGAAAAACTTCAATGTGGCTAACATCAATGTCAAGGCTGAGGATGGGAAGCCTCGAATTAGCATGGCTCCACTTCTTCCTCCATCACATTGTATGTCAAAGCTTATAACACGGGCTGATGATACTGAAGACGTGGTGAAAGAGAGACTTCTCATATACAATGAAAAGGTATAGGTTCATCTTTTGTTGTACTTTGGACTGTGGGCCATTTGTAGAACTCGTGTAAACTTAAATAATTAGCTAGAAATTTCTAAAGAAAATGAACAGGCAAGTAGTATAAGAAGAGGGTTATTGTTCCTCCTATGATGCAGAGAGTTTATTTTCCCTCATATTATTGCAGTACTGCAGCAGGATTATGAATTCATTTGGGAAAATTTTGCACTGGCTTGTTTTATGTTTTTCTTGATGAGGGAAAAAAACTAAGCATGTGCTGGAAATTGTTTATTGTCATTTGGTATTGCTTTCTCATGAATTATTTCAGCAGTGGCTTTGTAAAGTTGAAGTGGTGTGCATACACAATCCCTCTTTTTATTATCATAAAAGCAATGTCCCTCATCTGTTGCTAACAATTCGTGATTTGATATTTCTGTCATGTTCCCAGAGTCAACCTGTTGAGGAATACTATCGCAGTCAAGAAAAGTTGATGGAATTTGATCTGCCTGGGGGTATCCCTGAGTCCTGGCCTAAGTTACTGGAGGCTCTTAGTCTTGATGATTTTGAGGAGAGGCGGTCTGCTGCAGCATAAATCATTATGGACAACTGTAGTTTTAAAGGTGAGTCTGTTATTCTTTGCATGAAGGAGGAACATGCTTTCAATTTTGCAAGAAAATCAGAAGATAACTTGTCACATTTTTTGAATAAGCTTCTGTAGATCTTGATCAGTTATATTTCAACTGATGCCTTGGTATGACTGTTGTGTTTTTTCCACTCATTTAGAAGACATCGTGTTGTATCTTAGTTTTTGAGAGAACAAATTTGATGGACTATATACCAAGGGGTCCATCCTGAGATGAAATAAATTTGAATACATGGTGATATTTACTGTGTATTGACTATTGATCAACTTGCAACTTCAAGTCCTTAAAAGTGGTTAAAATGTAGAGCCCAAGTGAAGCATATGATATCATGGCTCACCAACAGTAGGAAAGCATGTATCTCTTAACTCTTTTAGCAATCGTTCTTTTTGTTGGTATGCCTATCTTGTAATCACTCGTGTCATTCCTCCTGCTGGAATGGGTAGAGTTTTAGTCTGTTAGTAACATATTGCCGTAATAGTCACAGCTTATCCCTTTAACCTGTGCTTGCAAACGAGACATAAACTGCAGCTGGCCGAGCTGGTTGGCTTTAGTATTGCCAGGCAGTAAGTAAAAGACAGCTGCTTACATTGAATTGGGCACATAACCAGCTCTTGCCTGCGAGAGATTAAGCAGTGCAAGATAGAGCGTGCCCCATATTTCACAATTATTTGTAGCAAAAATGATTTTAATAGAACACACGCAATTTATATGTTCAACTGTGTGGTCTTGTATTTTTTTAATCATTAGGACAAGAACATCATGTGGATACATATTCTGTTTTAATGAACCCCCTATTGCTCTCTATGCCGCTTTGTTTTTCATACATCGGAATTAAACGAAGAAATGCTTCATAAAATTTTCAATTTTAATAGTAAAATATTTAGGGCCTATTTGGTTTAGCTTATAGGAGGTTTTGCTTTTTTAGTACTATTTATGAGTGATAGGTTTAAATTTTTATCAGAAAAAACATTTAAAATTTGTTTTTAGAGAAAAAAATGTAAAAAATAAGTAAAAATAAAGTTTATAAAATTAAAAGTTTGAATTTTTTGATTGATTATGGTCTTTTTAAGTTTAAAAAAAATTTAGAAGTATAAGTTTTCAAAAGAGAAATTTAAATTTATGAAACTAAATAGTATCAAAAAGTTAAAACTTCAATCGCCTAACCTAAATACACTTTTAATCGGGAAGCAACTTTTTTGGAAAGCCATTTAGCTAATAATAAAAAACAAAAAGGTTAAAAACCTTTCCATGACGTTTTGTGGAGGGGAAGATTGTTTAAACCAACGACTATTTTACTGCTCGAACTGTGGAGCGCCGGACTCTTGTCTTTTATGTACATAAACTCTAAAGTCTAACCCGAGTGGATAGTTTGAAATTTTGAAATTTTAAGTTTAAAATTTCAAATTTTAAAGTTGTTTTGAGCGGAAAAAGATTTAAAAAAATATATTTGTTTTTATATAATTCATAATTAAGTATATATATATAGAACCTGACCCTTCGGGTCAAGCGACTCTAACCACGCTTGTAAGATTTATATTCCTTCTTTCAAGGCAACGATTCGAGTCGATCCATAACAAAATGTTTAAATAAACAAAACAAAAGTATATATATATATATATATATATATATAGAAAATCTGTGCATAAAGCCATAAACCCTTTCGTTTGACAAGATGAAGGTTAATACCATCATTTTACATTTTAACGCGGTCAGCGTGTCAGCACCGTCCTATTGTAGAAGTAGACGACCCAAGCGCTTGAAACCTGTCGGATGTTCGACGCCCGTATAACGACGTCGCCTCCTCCATATTCTCCCTCCAATCGCTCCGCCCACGAGATCCACTCCACCTCAGGAATCCTCCGTGGCCACCACAACTTACATCCACGTGTAAATATCCTGTACGACGTGGCTTTTCTGGAACGAAAATTAATTGAGAAACAAAATTTTTTTTTTCTTACAACTGTAGAAGTTTACATCCCCTTAACCTGAACAAAAATTCACCAATATCCGTCTCAGGTTAAGTTCCTCTGTTTTCCTGATGGTTGGTATATATAAAAAAATTAACCTGCCAATAATTAGTTTTTTTTCTTATTGTAAAAATTCGGATTAAAGGCACCCTAATTTCACTTTGAAAATTATTATTTTCAATGTAATTTTTTTGAATTGAATCTGTTCAATAGTTCATGAAGCTATGAAGACGATAATCTGCTCTGAAATTCTTGCAAGTTTTACATTTTTCAGATATGGAAAACTGATTTCTTTTAAATTCATCAAACTCTCTTCTTATTTTTATCTTTCTGACTCCCTGTAATTCCTAGTAGTTTCCAACCACCACATCTGTCACCAAGCAGGCATAATATAATCTCTACCGTGAACAAGGTTTCCAGTGCGAAGATAAGAAGCCATTCTGCACTTCATAACTGCTTAGAAATGACAGAAAAGGATCGGTGCATCACATCAATTAATGATCCTCCCAATCAATGTTCAAATTTTGGTAGCAGCAATGTTGATATGGGCTCCATAACTAACAATGCTTTATCAGGCCAGCAGTTTTAAGGAACAAGTCAGATGCATCATCCACAGTCAAATCTTCACAGCCGTTGTCTACATATCGGCCAATGAGAAACGACCTTTTAGGTGTTGTGCAGAAAGTTGTATTGGACAAGGTTGATGTTGTCACAGCTACCGCAATTCTTGATCAGCCTAGAGGTATACAAAAGGAAGCTTAAGCTCCTTTCCTCCAGCACCATTGTGATAATCATTTCCAAATTTCTGGCAACAAGCAACAGCAGCCGCCTGAGCATAACTGTCATTGAAGAAAATGGCTGCAGCTGCTCAACATTGTGGATCATTCAATGTGTTAGGGGGGCCTCTTGAAGGTAATGTTGGCAAGCACAGTCTGAATGGAAGTGCCTCAGGTAGTAACCATGGAAGCAGCACTGCAGTGAATACTGGTGGGGTAAACATAGAAAGTGATAATGGGATAGCCACGAAAAGTGGAAGTGGCAATGCAAGTGATGATGCAAGCTGGAGTGGGACTGGGGACTGAAAACAGAGTTGATCTGAACAAGTCTGCTCATAGAGAAGCTGTATCAACCAAAATACGTCAGAAGTAAAAGGGGAGATGCTTCCAGGAGAAGGTAACTTGCATTAAATTGTATATTAAATGTGTAGTTGAAGCCAAATTGCAGTAGGAGCCTGGCAGATTTTGCTGTTGAGTGCTAGTCTTGAGGGTTGCTCTTATTTGAACATTCATTAAGCTGCATCAACATCATGAGTTTATATCTGCCTTATGCTAATTTAGCCCCCATCTCAATACACATAGACAAGAGTAAAAGAAGAAACAATGTGCTATTTATTCTTTCGAGAAAAGATATACATATGTACTGACAAAGGCTGATTTATTTTTATTCTTTTACCTTCAAACACTTACTGTCATGATCATGCATGTTAAGAAATTTGCATTGACCAGGATTTTGCTTCAATCCTAGGAAAGCTACTTATTGGTAGCTAACTAACTGTTTTTATAACAAAACAATTAAGTGATTTGTTAGAAAGTAGAGTGTAACTTTTTTTTTTTCTAAAGTAATTGTTGAATTTCAATTATGTAAACTTAGAACTAGGGTTGATGATTGGCTCCTTCCAGGTTCAGTACCAAAGCAGGAAAAGACTAGCAGTGGGCAATTTGTGTGGCGTAAAGGGAATGAGAACACAAGCAGGGCAACAGATAAAACCAGCTAAACACTATTTCTAGCGCTGCAACAAGACTTGGTCCAACTAATATGATCTCAGTGTAGGATTACTTGGCAATCACAAGACATGCACCTCAACCTGTGTTTTATTGCCATATAAACCATTTCTACTTTCGGCATGTGTTGCTGTGAACTTAAATTGCTGCCTCTTGTAGGAGAAGGCGGTCTAAAAGCTCGTAAGGATTAGCTCATCTGGGTCCCTTCCCACATCATGTGCTGGTATCCATAATGTTCATGTTTATCCAATCTTTTTGACAACATTCAGTTTTCTTCCAGAATTCAGTTTCAGAATCTTATTAACTTAAGATCTTATGTATGTTTAAACTGTTGTATTTCTATTACGTACCTGGTGAGAATTTCAATGTCTTGAACTATGGCTTTTGTCTCGTTATTGAAGATCAACTTGGAATACATGTTCCTGATTTTGTTTGGATAATATCCTCCATCGAAATTTAACCCAACGGGCAACAGAAAAGAAATTTTGGTGGTATGCAGTGCAGAAAGTCAAGGAACGTAAACAACATGCATAACACCAAAACTGACAAGATGTCCACAAAGACAAGGACCCAAAACAACACGGCCGAAGAAAAATAAAAAGAACATGCATTCCCATAAACAAAAATTAAAAGTGAATTTTTGTCTATTTAATGTAAATTTATAATAAAAAATATATTTATTATATTTTTACCTTCTATCCTTATAATATAAATTTTAAAAAAAATTAGCATACAAATTGCATGTTAAAAATACAATCTGAACCGAAGAAAACCTATCGACCTAATGATTCAACAGTTTAATATAAACATTTTTTAC